GAGGTCAGTTGGGCAAGGGATTAATGAATTCGTTTTTTCTGGGAGGTGTTCTTCTAAGTGTACACCAGCATTTAAAAATGTATTAACATTTTAAACCATAATATTACTTAGTATAGGTTGTTGGGAGCTGGCTAGCTAATATCTGGATCATTGGCAACTCCAATGACCATGCTACGAGGCAGGAGAAGTCAACCAGTGGCATAAAGCAGCTCAGTGGAGAGACAGTGATCCCAGGAACCTGAGGTCAATTGTCTATCAATGTCCAAACAAGTGCCTTAAGATGGGCCCAAGGGAATGCTGAACAGATTGGTCTGGCCCAAATTCAAGCACATTCTCAGGGGTCAGAAAAAATGCTAAGTGTTCTCAAACCTTTGGGGAGCTATAAATCTGTTTCTTGTTTTGTTATTGATTTGGTTTCTTTATCAAGTTCACTGTCTGAGCAGTTTGAATCTTCTTTCTCAATAGCCAATCCTAGCTTCTCAGGATAGTAACACCATGTCATTAGAGTGTGCCAGCAAAGGAAGGGAAGAGATATGGCCTATCCAGCCAAATATCAGGTTGTCACTACTCTAATACAGTTTTTATGGTTATGGCTAGGCCAAATCACATGGAATGCGAATTTCATTAAAAAGTGAACTTTCTATTATCACACTCATCACCAATTCAGGTTTTAGGGTATTGCTTCAATTGCATTAACATGCATTTAAGTTCATTAAAGGTTTGTTCTATTTGCTCTTCATAACATTCTAATGAGCAACTGTCATATAAAAGGCAAATTTTAAACCATTATACTGAACTAATTTGCATCTTAATTTATTTTGAGAATTTACAGTACTTTTTTACTATTAGCTTTTTTTAAAAAATAGATAAATGAGGATAGTAAAGTATGCCAGCTATGGATTCCCTCCTATTGGGGGAATTGTCAGCTAACCAGTTAAATTGACTTTTTGGTTGGCTTGTGCTCCTGGAGCAAAGCAAAGAAGCCAGATGCAGGGCCAGAATCTGGCCTTTAAGTCTTTATTAATATTTTAACACATGCTATACACCTATAACATATACGTACGTATACACATGCATACAGAGAGATAATAGTTATCTGCCCCGCCACACGTGCACTACTTAGTGCTTATCCTCCATGCTACACAAAACATGGTAACATTAACTTGAAAACAAAAAGATGAAAAGAGAACTCAGGTAAAACTTCGCCGTCATCAACATAACACACATGTCTGCAAACCAATAATGTTTTAATAGCTGGGAACACCATAGCTTCTTCCCAGCAACAAATGTTTGTTTTTAAATGTCAGTTATGACTTTTCTTCATGTAGCTATTTCCAGTTCATATGTTACGTTATCCTCCCTCATTAACTCACAGGTTCTGATTCCTCACTGTGTTACTCCAGTTTTATATTGGTCTAACTCCATTGTTGTTCTTTGGGGACCTCTGTGTATTCACACCCTTGTGGGATATGGTGCCCCTGGTGTGGACCTGCCTTGAAAAGTGCATCCATTGGGGGGAGGGGGTGAACAAGAGATATTGCGCAAGGGGGCATCAATGTCCTACTATTTAGAAGGCAGTTCACTTTCCAGATGCTTCCATTCCTTCTCTTTTGTCACAGAAGGAGCAGAAACACGACTGCACAGGCTTGAAAACTGGCAGAGTAAGAGGAATGCTAAAGTGGCATTGCCACACTGGAATCCCATGATGAAATCTGAACAGGACTTAACACTGACCCTGTTTGCACTAAATCTTGCAGGTTCCATTCTGTAGGGACCATCTCTACCCTACCACATTTGGGTGCAGGGAGGGAAGGCAAGGGCATCACAGTTCCTGAGGGAACCATGTTATCAAGGGATGTGAGATTTGGGCAACAGCAGGTAGGGACAGTCCGTATGTTCCCTGAGATCCACAGGATATTCTTTATGGCCAGGGGATTACATACCCTGTGAGTGAAGGTTTCACACCTATTTTTTTTTTCCCCAGAGGGGCTGATGAAGCAGGATCTCCAAGTGTCATACTTAGAATTTTCCAAGCAACTTTGTCTCTCCTACAAGTTTTTTGCAAGAGAGAATGACATAGTCCTATATTTGCAAAAGTACCAATAGGCATAAATAACCATAATTACTACAAGGGAACAAATACTGACATAAAATGCTGTCATGATCATTTCAGGCAGTGCCATTAATGTTAAAGATAGGCCTGAACTACAGAGTTCAGAACTATATCCTAACTTTCCCAAAGTTCAGGGTTATTCAGGCCAGTGATTGTGACTCAAATCCCAATTCAAGTCCATTTCTGATTAATACTCTGACCAGTGCAGGTAGAGTATAAAATAGATATCTTGAGACTTGGGGGAGAAAAGGAGAGCAACCACAGCTTGTATCAACCACATGGACCAAGTTCTGTCCTCAAAAGTTGTGTGATTCCTATTAGCCATGTGTCTTCAATACAGTACTTCATTTATTTAAATCATAGCTAAATAGATTATCACAAATGAATGTATACTAGACTTAGAAAGTTCTTGGATTGAACTGTGCAGAAGAGACTTGTGTTGCAATTCTATCTAGCACTGATAGCTAGGCATAGCATACATGACTAAATCTGAATCTCCTCTCATGTATACAACCCAAACTTATCAATAAATCCACATCAAGTGTAGAAAATAATGTAAGCAATAATAAAAAGCTATGAGTTCAGGCTGTGATTTTATTGGTAGGAATTTCCTGCTGGTGAAATATCATTTAGCCCTTCAGATAACAGGACAGAGATTTCAAATCTTCTAGTCATGAGTTGAACAGCAGGGATTGAAAGAGGCATTAGCCTCCTGTAGACAAGCTAATTGTTATATCTGATTTTAAATTAATAAGTGCCATTTATGTAAGAGAACAAACTTATAGGACTTGAGAGGCACGGGGAGCTTTATTATGTGGATGCAGTTACTATGGTGACAGTTTTATTCTCCAAGAGATAGAGGTTAGGTTTCTTGAGGGCTGAACCAGGATATTCTACTTCCATCCACATTCAGTGACTGGTTCAGCCCCTGTGCTCGGACTGGGGATATAACTAGATAAAGCCAAAACACCTGTCAAGATTTGATGAGCTAAATTTTGCTCTGTTACACAGATACAACTTAGTTTCATGGGCTGAAGAGCAGAACTTGGTGCTGTGAAAAGTAATCATCTTTCAAAGGAAAACTATATCTCACATGAGAGAAAAATATGTTAGCTTGGTTGGTTGTTTTTGTAATGAAGCCTGTACAAGCCTTTAAGCCATTGTAGCAGTTTTTCTGCTCTAAGAAATGATCTAAAAACAGTGCCATTGTATGTGTGATGGCTGTCAATCTATGAAAGTTAGTGGAACTGCTAACACCACCAGGAGCTCCTTGCACCTTTGTCATTGTTATGCCTGAACCAGTTAACCAAGACCAGGAACTTATGAAGTTGTGCCCTACAGAATTTACAAATGCTGCCGCACCCCTTTAAACCTGTTGTGTAAATGGCTAGGACCTGGTCTACACTACATGGTTAGGATGACGTAAGCTGCCTTATGTTGGCCTACCTTTGAAAGTGTCTTCACTTAAATTTGGCTCCCGACAACATAAGTGCCTCTCTATACAGATTGAGTAACACCACCTCCCCAAGCACCATAGAGTCATGGCCAATGTAATTAGGTTGACATAGTGTCAGTGTAGACACTGCATTGCTTAGTTGACTGGGCTTGGCTTTCAGGAGCCATCCCACAATGTCCCAAACTGACAATATAATCAATATGAGCACTCCTGATGATGATACACACCGCTGGCACAAGGAGCCATGTGTGCATGCACACAAGCGATTTAATAACTGAGGTGGCTGTATGCCGACGTAAATTAGGTTGACCTAATTTTGTAGTGTAGACATGGCCTAGGAAATTGTAAGTAGTGGCTGTGGTCCAAGCACTTAGCCTTAAGTTTGTATAGGAGGATCACTGATGTATTAGTGCTGGTGAGCTTCTATCCAAGTGTGGCAATCTGCCTTCTAGGTGGCTAGCTGGCAAACACTGTGTGATAGATATGCACAGTGTTGGTAATCTGACTACAGAATATGTGGTTTGTCACTGGCTTTATTTAGGAAGGGTGAGAATAAACTCTACTAGAGAGTTCATAACACAGTTAACATGGTTTTTTTTCTTATTACCCTAAGAAGCTGTCCCATTTTTCTCTATTAAACAGACTTACAAGCTTTGAGAGCATTACAAAAAAGTGAGATCCCAGGTTTTCCCAGACACGTTCTGCATTGCCTTAAATATAACCAGACCTGAAGAAGAACTCTGTGTAAGCTCGAAAGCTTGTCTCTCTCACCAACAGAAACTGGTCCAATAAAAAATACTACCTTGTCTCTCTCAAATAAAACCCGTCAGAATCATGTATTCAAGCACTATCTCTTTTTCTAATCACCAACATGGTTACAGTGATATCAGCTATAGTGAAGGATGCACATTAAAGATGGGTTTCAGAGGAACAGCCGTGTTAGTCTGTATTCGCAAAAAGAAAAGGAGTACTTGTGGCACCTTAGAGACTAACCAATTTATTTGAGCATGAGCTTTCGTGAGCTGTAGCTCAAATAAATTGGTTAGTCTCTAAGGTGCCACAAGTACTCCTTTTCTTTTTACATTAAAGATGGTAACACTTTTAAATAAATCAGATAATACTAATTAATACACAAGTTATGGTACTTTTAAAGATGGAAGTCATGCAGGAAAAAAGATAAAATGAAAAAATCATGACATATTAATGATTTAAAATGTATGCTGGAACTGGGAGAACAGTAAGTATCATGAATAATTCAAATGAGACAGAATTTGCCTTGCAAGGTCGATGAATGTAAAAGGGGAAGGCTTTTGGAAAGAGCAGTTCCTATTCTTTCAGCATTGTTGAGAGATCTCCATCATCTGGAAGGTTAAGACAAGATCAAGCAACACAGAACACTGTCTAGTTGTTCTGAGAGAAGATTATATTGAAATCTATTGGCACCACATTTAGTTCGGTCGGAGCCTGTCAGCTGCTGAGAAGAGTTAAGCCTGAATGTTTAATGCCAAATGAATTAAAGTCTATTTTTGAACTCAACTTCCACATCCTGAAGGAATGGTTACTAAAGAGAAAAGAAACCAATGAACAATACCCTAGGCAATCGATACAAATTATTGGAATTCCTTACAAAATGGCTTGAAAGGGAAGTACTGTTTGTAGAAGATGAATGTGAGTACACCAAGAGAAAAATGCTTTCAACACATGGTCTGCTTTAATATTGGTTATTTTCTTTTTCTGAAACTGTTTAAGCACATCACAAGAAACACAGTCCAGGAGACCAATTATTTCAACAGTGCATGGATTACTGTAATTTTTAAGAGTGTGCATGTGTCTTTTTGTTTAAAAGGTGTTGGGAAGCCCAGGGTTTGAACTCTGCTGAATGTAATCTGTATGCAAGGGAATAAGTCTGAAAATCATGAATGTATTGCAGATCTAACTGTATTTCTAAATTCTCTTATTGTAGTTGAATATAATAATAGAATTTATTTGTTATAATTTCAGAATCATTTGGCCCAGCACAAATCATATCCTATGTTGCTTTTCAGTAGCTTGCAAAGATGTTAGAGGGAAACAGCAGAATTATATAGTGTTGCTCGCAATCAATATGCGTTGCAACTTTCAAGCTGAGATTCAGCAGCCTGCAGCATCAATGTTTGTAAGTGCAACTGCTAATTATGTTAAGCAAGACAGTGTTAGAATAGGAAGATCTAAAAATTAGATACAATTTGTGCAAACTCATTAGATAAAACAAAATGGACAGACTGTATTTTGGGGTGAATCCTAATGAATTCTAAAAGAACATATTTAAATTTATTGGATTTATTTTATCTATTTTTCATACATGGTTTTTCTAAATAAGATTTCAAAAGCTCAATAGAGACCTTTTGGGCTTGATTTCCAGGCTGACCTTAAACTGGCTTTTCTTTCTTGCACCTACAATTTTGCAAGGGGAAAGACTCCTGGGTGCAGTTATCACCTGTTATTAGTTGTGAGTGCAAATTCTGTTGTTTAGATCTCCAACTGCCTCATCATAGCCTCATTTCAGTCAGTCAGACATATAAATGAATTAAATTGTGCCTGCATGTACAAAATTCCAACTACAATTTGTAGGGGGGGAAAGGAAAACCAGGTTTTAAAAATCTGTTCCTTTATGCTTGCTTGTACTAATATGGTTCATGGTTTACGTGGCACAAAGATTCACTGATGGTGTCATATTCTGATAATGAAATAACTGATTGCCACAGTTATAACTGTTATGCAGAGATTAGTTTAATTTAAAGTAGATCTCATGATCAGTAAAAATGCTGCTTTTCACCTGTTGTTGATCAAGATACAACTCTGCATGTGCATTCTGCAACAGGTAAACATAAACCAAATGCAAAAGTCAAGATGGAAAATTCAGGATCTTACTCTGAAAGATTTCCTCCTCCATCGCATGGAGGTATTCTGGTTTCTGTTCATTTTCTGATGACTGGGAAGTGGTGTTGGCTACATTTTTCTGTTGCAGTTTAAGGACAGCTCCAGACTCCTCTGTAGTTAAGAACTGGAAAGTCAGTATTCTGCCATGACAAAAAGAATATGTACACCAAACACTACAACCTCCTACCTGACGGGAAGGGGTAGAGGTGAGTGGTGTGTGCGTGTGTACTGTAGTATGTATATACTACTCAAAAAATAATCTATGTTAAAAGAGCATTATTAAGGTTACAAAGTCAAGCACTCAAGGAGTTAGGAAGTGCCAGAACTAAGGTTGCCTGGGCAAACTTAATTCAGCCCCCTTGTGCATATGATTATGATACAGTCTCTTTAATTACATAATCACATATTACTATTTCCTGACTTATTCAGAGCACAGAATGCATGGTGCTGACTTAATGAGCAGGTATTAAATATTTTGTTTCTCATTATTCAATATATGGCCCCAGGCCTTACTTAGTGCTTACTATTCAAACCCTGCTTGGAATACAGAATTAAGTTCTTCATGGGCTCTTGGGTGGTGCTCATCATTCTAGTATCAGAATGCTTCACAAACATTAATTTATTTTTACAAGACTCCTGTGAGATGAGGAATTGGTATTATCCTCATTTTACAGACAGTGATTTGAGGCACAGAGAGATTAAGACCCAGGCATATCTACAAATTTTAGGTGCCCAGTTTGAGATGCCTAGGGTCTGATTTTTCAGAGTATTTAGGATTATATAGCACTGTATATATTGAAGGACAGCTTCCTTTGACTTCAGTTGCACTGGTTACATAAATTTGCACTTCTGCAAATCAGATCCCAGACCTATTGGACTACTGGAAGGTGCTCAGATACTACAATGATAACCACCATATAAGAACCTACATAGAATAGAACAGAATAAATTTGGGCACCTAGAAAATGAAGTGACCACCTGTAAAAAGAATGGTTTAAGTGACTTGCCCAGAATCATGTAGCGGCAGAGGCAGGGATAGAATCCTGTTCTTCAGGGCAGCATTAAACTGTCTTAGCCATGAAACCGTCCTTTCTCTTTCTGCTGTTTCTTGCCTCATTCACTACACATCTTCCAACATCTGCAACAAATGAAATGGGGTTCTTCGAACAAGTCTCATTCACTATACCACCCTGTTTCATCCCCAGAGCCGGTCCATTCTGTGCACTGAAGGAGGCAGGGTCCTGTGGAAAAAGTAGCATCTGATCATGTAATTAAAGACTATAACACATACACACAAAGGGAGCAAACTCATATCGCAAAGGCCACCTTAACGCTAGCATTTCCTAACTTTTGAGTACTTCACTTTGAAACCTTAATAATGTTCTTTAACAAAGAATTGAAGAAACAGAAATTCCATCATGTGGCATCATATTGAGATCCATCTGGGTCATCAGCCGGGCTGAACCTTAGCTCTACCTCACAGACCTCTGCCACTTGAGCTAATGGAGTAACTGATAGCAGTAGTAGGATGTCATCCTCTCCATGGACTGGTACTAACGGGGAATGAGACCCACATTTTACTAGTGTATTTCACAGGTATTTGCTGACAGCAGAAGAATGGTGACACTCAGGAAACTTGGGTTCCATTCCAGATTCTGCAGGGAGTGTACACTAATGAACACAGATTCTTCTATCCATTCCCCCCAAAGTTGACCTCTTATGTTCCCTCCAACCTTTCCCTATCGTGGTCCTATATCTTCCTTACATCTGGCCTTTCATTCCAGGCCCATTCATCTCACTTAGCCGGTCGCAGTCTCCATTCCTCAGGCTTCTCATCCTAATCTCTTTATCCAATCATTCTGAGTTCTCTCCCCATACCGTCCCTGTCAGATGTCTCCCTTCCCTCCACCTTCCTCCCAATCCCACTGGTTCCCAGTCTCTGTCCCCCAGCTCCTAATTTCCTTACTCAACCAGTCCCAATCCCCTCCCAGGCTCCCTCATCACCTTATCCTTCTGCCTTCCCCCTGCCCCCAAATCTAGCTCTTGTCTTCTCAGCATTTGAATCAGGCAGTTTCCTCATTCAGGCTGCCTAGACATCAGCAGAGGGGTCCTGGAAAGCATAGGAGAGACAGCCTTTCTGCTCTCAGTTCTAATGCCTAGCCCTGTACCAGCCCAAAAGAGCAATTGCAGGAGAAGTCCTGCTCAGCCCTGGACTGGATCATGCTCAGTATAGACAGAATCTTTAAAGAATTTAGAGGCAAAGCTCTAGCAAGTCTCCACTGAGCATGTGCAAACTGAAATTTTTAAACACTTATAACTTGGCCAAATTTGGGGGGATTTTCACAGGGATGGTGAAATGTACATCCCTGACATAAAGGCCCCAACCTGGCAAATTTGAAGTGCTTGCTCCAAAGCATGGGGGTACTAGAGCTTCTCGAAGGAAGAAAAAAGCCCTGAGGTAGTTTCCTTAATCCAAATAGTTAAAATCTGGCAAAGTTATAAGCAATTGAAAATAGAATCTTATAATGGGAAGTGTTGAGCAACCTTAATAATAAGGAAAAAGAAAAGGAGTACTTGTGGCACCTTAGAGACGAACCAATTTATTTGAGCATAAGCTTTCGTGAGCTACAGCTCACTTCATCGGATGCATAAAGTGGAAAGTACAGTGAGGAGATTTTATATACACACAGACCATGAAAAAATATACATTGTAAGGACAGTGATCACTTAAGATGAGCTATTACCAGCAGGAGAGTGGGGCGGGGGGGGAGAGAGAAAACCTTTGAAGTGATAATCAAGGTGGGCCATTTCCAGCATATTTCCAGAGTTAACAAGAACATCTGAGGAACAGTGGGGGGGGGGGGGGAGGAATAAACAAGGGGAAATAGTTTCACTTAGGATAATGACTCAACCACTCCCAGTCTCTATTCAAGCCTAAGTTAATTGTATCCAATTTGCAAATTAATTCCAATTCAGCAGTCTCTCGTTGGAGTCTGTTTTCTAAGTTTTTTTGTTGAAGGATAGTCACTTTGAGGTCAGAAATCGAGTGACCACAGAGATTGAAGTGTTCTCCGACTGGTTTATGAATGTTATAATTCTTGACATCTGATTTGGGTCCATTTATTCTTTTACGTAGAGACTGTCCAGTTTGCCCAATGTACATGGCAGAGAGGCATTGCTGGCACATGATGGCATATATCACATTGGTAGATGTGCAGGTGAATGAGCCTCTGATAGTGTGGCTGATGTGATTAGGCCCTATGATGGTGTCCTGTGAATAGATATATGGGCACAGTTGGCAACGGGCTTTGTTGCAAGGATAGGTTCCTGGGTTAGTGGTTCTGTTGTGTGGTGTGTGGTTGCTGGTGAGTATTTGCTTCAGGTTGGGGGGCTGTCTGTAGGCAAGGACTGGTCTGTCTCCCAAGATTTGTGAGAGTGATGGGTCGTCCTTCAGGATAGGTTGTAGATCCTTGATAATGAGTTGGAGAGGTTTTAGTTGGGGGCTGAAGGTGACGGCTAGTGGCATTCTGTTATTTTCTTTGTTGGGCCTGTCCTGTAGTAGGTGACTTCTGGGTACTCTTCTCGCTCTGTCAATCTGTTTCTTCACTTCAGCAGTGGGTATTGTAGTTTTAAGAATGCTTGATAGAGATCTTGTAGGTGTTTGTCTCTGTCTGAGGGGTTGGAGCAAATGCGGTTGTATCATAGAGCTTGGCTGTAGACAATGGATCATGTGGTGTGGTCTGGATGAA